ACTCTTTCCTAAGGATATATATTTAGCATCACAGCTTGTCTCTTCTCTTCTTGCCTACTTTCTACTTTGTTTCGAATTAGACGACGACTTCTTCCTACACGCCTTCAGATTGTCCAATAGATATTTGAACTGTATAATCTGGAGCCTCGTGACCGCCGGCTCGGAGCATTTGTCCAACCACTTGTAGAACTTTTCGCCGTGCTCGATCGCCTCCTCGGTGCTGCTCGGCACGTCTCCGCCGGTCGACTCAATGTCCTCTACCGCGGCGGCGGACTCCTCCTCCATGTTGAGGCTTCGTTTCACGTTCTCGTTGTTGTTGTTGCAAAGCACGTTGTCGAGCATGGCCCTCGCTTTGCTCGGCGATTTCTTGGCAACGGGGCTGGGCGCTAGCGGCGTCGGCGTTATCAGCGGGAAGCTGCACTGTTTGTACCACTGCCAGAACCACGAGCCATCCTGCTGATTGATGCTCGGGTTGAAACTCGCCGACTGTTGACCGAGCAGCTGTTGCTGCTGCGTCAGCCATAACCATAGCGCCTCGTCCACCTTCTTGTTACCGCTGCTCACGTTCCCGTCCTTTTTCGGTTTGCTTGTCGATCTCTGAATACTGTTGTTCTCGTTGGTCTTCCTGGGCGACGCGGGCACCGGGGTCGACGGTGCTTCCGCGGCAGGTGGAAGACTCTTTCGCGTGCTGCACGACTTGGCCACCACGGAGTCCATTTGCGCGGGTGCGATCGCCGAGATACTATGCCTCTTGTTACCACTGTTCAAATTCGCGCTCGCGATACACGCGTTCGCCCTGTCCTTGGTGTACTGAAGCCCGTTCTCGACGAGGCCGACGGTGCTGCCATGCGACAGCGCCGGCGACATGCTCAACAAATTTTTGGCGAGCGCGCCAGTGGTACTGGACAGGAGGCCCAGTTGCTGCAGGAGCAGCGAACTATTTTCGGGTCTCATGCCCGCCATGCTGGTCATCAGTCCCACGTAATCGATCTTCGGTTTGTTATCCGGTTTACCATCGTCGGTACAAACGTCACCACCGACGAACGACGTGCCCGCGCTTGTTACCGATGTCTGCTGATCTATTTTCGACTTCTTCACGCAAGGACCCTCGTCCTCGCTCGACAGATTCGCCGATCCACCGGCCAAGTTACCGACCGCGACATTCGCGCCGGAAGACGAGGCTGGCGAGTGGGCTTCGCTGTCCGGCGTCGACGAATTCCTCGCCATGCCTCTGATTTTGTGCTCGGACTTGCACCAGCCCCGTAACGTCGACTCGGGCACCCCGATGTCTCGCGCCACCGACGCTTTGCTCTCGCCCTCGTGAACCCTCTGTATCGCGTCCATCTTCTCCGACGCGGATAGCGCCCTTAAAGGGCGCTTACCCGGTCGCGCCGACTCGCCCCTCATCCCGGCGAGGCGACTATCTTTTGCGCCCTCCCGCAAGCGATCCTCGTACCCTCCGTCCTCCGTCGTCGTGATGCCTTCGTCGATCACTTTCGGATCTATCTTGCCCACTTTCCGATCCCTGCCGCGCAACTTGTCGCGAACGTCCAATACCCGATCAGGGTCGTCGACGTAAACGTCTAAATTCGTCGTCCTTAGATCCAGGATGAAAGATTTTATTTTATCCTTTTTCCTGCTTTCCCTCTCTCTCACTTTCCTCCACCAACCAATCTCGCGAATATTTACCGCGTTGTTCCCCGTTCTTCCTTACCGGTCGCGCACGAATCTGTCGGTTACACACAGAGACACAACACAAAAAGGAGAAAGAGATGTATGTATATTTCGTTCTTTTTTCCTTCTCTCTTCTTTCTTCCCCGTCCTCGTCGCGGTTCACGGACGACAGCTCTCTCGTTGGTTCCCCGAGCGTTGTCACGAAGCGTCACAGCAAGCCTCGAGCGGTCTTGTGACGCGCGAGAAGGCGATCGATCGACGTTCACGTTCCAGATCGCGCCATCCGACTATATCGGGCCTGCGTGTGGACACGCGAGGAATTCCAATTGCTCGTCCGCGAGACAGGGGACACACGCGCGCGACGTGCTCGATAAAGAAAGAGAGAGAGCTCGCGAACTCGATGCGTGGTGGTGTGTGGTGCCTCGGGTACCACGTCCTTCGTCCACCGACGTCCGATTCGATCAGCCTCGATAAGGTGTTTCCGATAGAAGCAGCCCCGTGGAATCGCGGCAACCTTGGCCGCGGTGGTGTCCAGCGATGGTGAAACAACGGCGGTTCGAATAGAGACGGCGATGACACTTTTGACGACACGTCGGGAACGATAGCGTAGAACGACGCGGAACGACGTAGAACGATATTAAAACGACGTGGATGGCAGAACGTCGAAGGCGAAAGAAGCACGACGAAGAAGTAGAGGCGGACGGCAACGGGCAACGATACGGGAGAGATCCGTACGCCGTACCGTTGCCACGGCGTGTGGCAGCGATTCGTATCTCGCGCAGTAGTAAATAATACCGTGTGTAAACGTGGTTACGCCGGTCGGGGGAGGTCCTCCTCCGTGGAATAGCACATGCGCTCACAGAGAGTAATAAAGAACTTTTTTATGAATGAAACAACTCGGTCGGGCGGTTCCCCTCCTCGTCTGCCGCCCTCCCTCCTCCTTGGTCGTGGCAGTACTCCTCTTTTCTCTCCCTCTCTCTCTCTCCGCTCGCCACACTTCTCCACTACTCGGTCGCGTACACCGTCGTCGACCACCACCTCCTCCTCGTCTGTCTCTTGCTCTTGCTTTTGCTTCTCCACCTCTCTTCGTTTCTCTCCTTCCGCGCTCCTCTATCCTTCTCTCTCTTTCTTCCCTTTGCTTTTGCTCTCTCCGTCGGTTTCGAACGCGTCCTCGTCGGCGCTAGCGCGAGTAAAACGGGGCACGTTGCTTCGCTGTTCCGCTGTTCTTCGTTCGTGGCCACATCAGCCAATCCGCAGTCCGCGCGGGAAACGATATTATTGCTGTACCACGAGGAATAGCGGCGACGAGTGGTAGGAACGAGACGGCGAGAAAGATGGGATCGCGCGGAACGAGGATAGCGACAGGGACACACACGATCGAGAGTCCGAGAGGTCGCGCCGGCAGTGCTCTGCTGCTGGTCGGATCAGTTTTCGCCGTCGCGTTTCTTCGCGCACACTTTGGACACACCGGCCGCGTGTTTTTCCCTCGTCCGTTGTTCGCGCCGTTCGTTTCGCTCCCGTTTAGCTCTCTCTTTGGCTGTGTATACTCGTCCGCGGGCTCCGATGATTGCGCGCCTGCTCTCTGTCTCTCTTGCGCCCACGTCTACGAACGCGTTCGTGCCTCCTCTGTTTTCTCTTGCTCGCTCGCTATGCGTGCGTTCGGGGCTCTCGAGCCAGCGACAGAGATACTTCGACCGACAGCGAGAAAGAGACGCTGCCAGAGCAAAAGAAAAAAACCACACACACAGTCCCCGACGCAACGGCTCGACGAAAGGACGGCCGTCAAGGACAAACGCGGAACACCCGTCGTCGCGAACCAATTTCACGAAAACACCGTGAAATTTTTCTATTCCTTGCTTTCGCGTGTCTCCGTCTTGATATTTCTCAGTCTTCTACTTCTTCTCCTTCTTCACTGCCTTTTTTTCTTTCTCCTCTTCCTCTATTGCCTGTTTCTCTCGTGTCGTCCTTCTCGATAGGTATTTCCCACGCGCGATATTACTCGCTCCGTAAAAACATCGCGTTCGAATTCGTGGAAGAACGTCGGTGGAACTTGGCGCGATTCCTCTGTGGCATTTCGTTCCCTTGTGGAAGCACCGGATAAATCGTGCTAAGCGTGGCACACGAGAAGCCTCACGACACTGATCAATTCTCACTGCGTTCTCGTATATATTCGCTTTCCTCTGTACGTCGCTGGACGTCTCGTGTCCGATGGTGGAACGAGGCCGAAGGAAAGATGCGAGAAAATTTCAAACGATTCCCGGGCTTGGCGTATCGTGTATATTCGTAGGTAGGCGCGTCGATGGAACGGATCGCGAAACCGATACGACGGTACACTGGCGCGCCTCGCGTTTAGTTGCGAGTGTCCACCTATAGGAGGAGAATATATCGCCCAATAATAGTCGCGTAGAAGAGACCGTGACACCGGCGATCCTCACCTGACGGTGGATCGACCTCGACTGAACCGCCGGTGTGTGTGCGCCGCGTCTATCGTCGCTGGCTGCCTCGCGTATAACTGCTTTTAGGGGCGCGCGTCGCGTCGCGTCTCTCTTGGTCCGTCGACCGCCGAACCTGTGCGTGATGATCGCCGCCGATCAGTCGATCCGCCCGGTTCCACGGCTCACAGCTAACTGTTTCGATGTGTGTGCACGGTATATTACGCTACACACGAGAACGCACGATGGGGGTGGGGGCGCGCGAGAACCAGCAACGCACGATGCTCTCGCGACGAATCGCGACGCTCAACTGCGGCGGTGGTCGCCGCCGGCTTTCCGCGGACTCGCGACGCCGTCTTCACTGCCCCCCGCCCCTCCCCCCCACCACCCGGACTTCCCCTCGCCGTGCGGCACCGCGCCATTCGGCCCTTCCTCCCTTCCTGTCCCACTCCCCCCTCCGCGCTCCGTGCAACTCCGCCGCAGCCCAGCTTGCGCCTCGCCTTGCCATGCCTTGCCATGCCTTGCCATGCCTTGCCTTGCTTCACCTTACCTTACCTTACCTTACCTTACCTTACCTTACCTTACCTTACCTTACCTTACCTTACCTTGTCTTAGTTCGCCTTGCCGTGCCATGCCTCGTCTTGCCATGCTTTGCCATGCCACGACGCGCGTCTTGCTTTATCCGCGCCGTACTTCTCGTCTTGCTTCTATACTCTCGCTCTTCTACGCTACCTATCTACCCCCATCCCCGTTACTCTCCGATCCTCCTCCCATTGCCACCCTTCCGCCTGCCCCTTCGCGTTCGCGTCCTCCTCTTCCTTTCGTCTCTCGGTGTATGTTCCTTCCATCCACGGTGTGCTGTCGAACCGCGCGTCTCTGGTTCTTTACCCCTCCGCACCCTTATCCACTAAAACCCCTCTTGGAGTCCGCGACCCTTGCCGGTTCTCTCAACCGTCGTCGTCTCCGTCGTCGACGTCGTCGTCGTCGTCTACCTACCACCGCTAAGGTTCCACGTAGTTACGGACACGAGACGCGAGGTGACACGACGTGACGAGACGCGAGGTGACACGACGCGACGAGACGCGACGCGACACGACGCGACAGAGGATGTCGCGAGAAAGGGGAGGACAAACGGTCACTCCCCGCGATACGCTACGTGCCGTGTCTATTTTTCTATGGCGCGTTTCGCGATGCTTTTAGTCCACCGGTGGGTATATAGACTCGCGCGTGCACACGCGAACGGTCGTCGTCTTCGAGAGACTCGGCGTGTCCGAGTTTCCGGTCGGCCGACTGTTCGCAGCGGCAGCGAGGGAACGAGGCACGGCGCGGTGAGTCGAGGCGAGGCGAGGCGAGACGAGGCGAACGCCTGGCCGCTCGCTCGGTCGTCGTGAAATTTACGAGCGACGCGATTTTTTCGCCCGTGTCCCGAACGCCCGTTTAATTTCCCGCGATTCTAGGATCTCTCTCTCTCTCTCTCCCTCTCTCTCTCTCCTCTTCCTCTGAAATATATAGCGGGAAAGAGAGGCACGGGGAGGAGCAGGAGCACCGAACCCGTGGCAAAACCCTTAAATCCGACCCTCTTCCCCCTACAGCGCGCGGCCCCTAGGGAAGAGCCGGATTTATGAGCGCGGCCTAAAATCCGTACGCGAACGGCGGCGGCGGAGTTACGGAGCCAGAGAGAGCCGCGAGTGTATAAGAAGGTACGCGGCGGTAATTCGCGGATAAATTTACCGTGCCTCTGGCGGCGTATTTACCGTGGTAAATACGCGCTCGGACACCGGCGCGACCGGCACCTACGTCGATTTCTTTTTCGCGGCCGAACGAGTCGCCCTACCCTGCCGATAATTATCGTGCGCTTGTGCGCGCGACCACGCACGCTCACGTTCGCGCTCCAACGCCACGTTTGGCCTTCTTCGAGTCCCACTTTGCTCGAATCCACGACTACGACGGAGGACGCGACCAACACCGCGTTATATTACCTGTGTACGCCTCGGGATGGGAAACGGGGAATGCCTCGAATGCTACGGATTTTTCGCTCGTTCCAGAAATAATCGTACCCCGAAATATATCCGCCTCTCTCGCGCGCCTATATATACACGTATACACACGCGATCCGTAGGCACGTATACGTAGACACGCGGCGTGTACGGTAAGCGGACGTTAAAGGGGAACGCGCGCCGGTTAGAGGGAAAAAACGCGTTCGCGTTTTATGTAACGCGCGGCGAACCGTTCGAATCGAGTGGCGGGATGGGGAGGTAGGGAGGATCGATCAAAGTCGAACGTCGATGACGATGACGGGGCCGAAGGGAGAACGGCGAATAAAGAGAAGATGCTAATCGTTAACCGGGGAGAGAAAAAAAAACAAACCCATCTATATATTTCGTTTACCTATATATTCCGTCGTATTACACCCGTGTATGCTCTCTCCCCGTGAGTACGCAGTGCGATCGGCGCGTACGTACATATATACCGAGCGCGCGATGTTTATCGATAAATTGGTGGCATAGGAAAGGCAACGGCGGTCTGTACCGTTATCGAGGAAACGGCGTTACGAAAATATTTCGAGCGCGCACGGAGATCGAAAAGATAGCGGTGGCGCGCGGACGTCACCGGATACACCTTATCGATCTCGATATCGGTGGCTCGTCGAGAGAGAAAGAGACGACGCGGTCGGACGTACGGCGGCCGATTAACGAACGGTGAGTCGCGCAAAGGGGAAAGGACGAAGGCGTGAAAGAGAAAGGAGTGAGGAGCGGCGAGCGGCGGAGGAGGAATAGGAGGAGGAGGATGGGGTGGAGGAAGAGGCGGTGGGCGGGGTGGAGGAGGAGGAGGTGGCGGCGGAGGAGGACGGTCGGACGAACGGACGGACGGATGGACGGCCCGGGGGGGAGAGGGGGGCAAAATCGATCGACACGTCCTCTCGGGTACGCGGCGAGGCGCACTTTGCGCGGCGCGCACAGACAACTGCCGAGGCAAACCCGTGTGCTCCTTCGCCACTCGAGCCGGTAACCCGTACAATTAATTTTCACCTGCTTCCCTCGCGGCTCGGCCTTTCGCGGAAGGATGTGCGCGTTGTGCGAGCAGCGACAGAGACGGAGATAGAGGTTTTACGGAGGCGACGCGACTCCGTGCGCGCGCGCGCGCGCTCGTCCGCGCGCTACGTGACACGCTCGCCGGTCCCCGACGTAACGGTCGCGGTCGTTCCGCGAAAAAGACGCGCGTGTGCCGGATGAGAGCGGAGAAAATGGCCTGGATTATTTTCGCGACCGGTAGTGGCGAGAGCCGCGAGAATCGCGATTTCGTATATACCACCTTTTAAATACAAAATCCCACTCCCTTTCTTATTGCGTTTCTTAATTAACTCTCCGATCCACCATTTTTTCCACCGAATTTTTAAAACCTCTTCGATGACCTTCGGTGACCTTGTATACGGGGCCGTTGCGAAACCTCTTTTAAATTTTAATATTCGCGATCTCGTACCGATAAGAACAGACATATGACCCGGTTAAAACGGTGGAAACGTGGATTTCCTTAGAAATATCTGATTTCGGAGGAGAACGATCGATACACACGCGACCCCATTTACCGTTTTCCAAAAATTTCCACCGGT